AAGAAAAAGAGAAATTCTATTATTTTTTTAATTAATAAAAAATTTAATTTATAATTATATATATATATATAAAATAATTTGGCACCTCCAAAATGTTTATCCAAGTCCCGCCACTGACCATGAGTATGAAATATTTGTTATGAACATGAGTATTCACCTTTGGGCCATGAGTGTTCACCTTCGAGCCTTGAGTAATTGCTATTAGACCACAATAATATGCCTTTGATCCATGAGTAGAGTTTTTGGGACCTTGAGTTACAAAGTACTTACATGCATATAATTTTAGAGGAGTGGAATTTAATGAGTTGAGAACATGAAGTATGAACGTGTTAATATGAATGAGTAGATATTAAAGTTGTGAGATATTACTGTCTAAAGTATTACCTTTATATGGTTTATGGAATATTTCTTTGTCTTATATATATGTGTATAAGTATGCTAGAGTGAGATTTTTTTTCTCTTCCTTTTGTTGTTATTGTTGTATTCGTACGTGTGTTTTACAAATGAGGATGATGTTGGTAAATATGCATGTGACTTGTGATGTGCTATAAGTCAACCTTTGATAGGATGGGACATGGGTCCTTACATTAGGATCTTTACTACTTAGAGTTATTTATTATATTTATGGATCATGTAATTATTTTTGGTGTTATAAACAATTTTCTTGTATATCTAAGTTTCCTTATAGCCACTCATGACACCTAGTGTTGTGTCGGTATAAATGCCTATGCAGAATTTTCAAATTTCATACATTATTATTAACATGCATTTTTACGAATTCCAATTGATCAAGACATACATCGCACGATTAAGCATTACTAAGTCATCAATTCACATGCTAAATTCATTACTTCATACTAATTCAATTTATTCTATCCCTAGGGTTCCCATAGGAATCCATAAGTACTCATAGATCTACAAACATGGCTACTAATATAATGTACTCAAAACACACAAGGATAATATAAAACACATATTTACACATTATAATCATTGTTTAGATTTTCCCCTCATACATTATGCACAAACAAGATAAGATTAGAAGCTAATCTTGCTACTCCACGGTTAGCCCACCTTGAGAGCGAGATTGTCTCCCATTACCTCTTATTCTCCCTCCTTTTCAGATCACATAAGTGTGAGTTAATGCTTATGAAAGGCAACCCTAATCTTACTATTCTATATATAGTTAACTTAACTCTAATTTGTGTATAGTTCTCAATAAAAATATTTTAAACACAATTACTTTTTTCTTCTTTTATAATTAATGACAATCCATAAATAATTATTTTCAAAAATATTTTCCTTTTTATTAATAACACTCATCGTCATAAAATAACTCTAATTAATTAGTTAAAAATTTATTAATTTATTCTAAAAATTTTAGAATATTAAAAAAATATAAAACTTAATAACTCTTCGCCTACCTCATTATTTATGTTTTGCTTGTGTTCGGATGAAGAAATTTTCTCTTTGATCATAAAAATTTAAAAAGAAATAGGTAAATAATAATAATAATAATAATAATAATAATAATAATAATAAACACTTAGGATTAAGATTTATTTTTGGTACAAACTAAGGATTAAGATGACACAAAGAAAAAGTCTATACAAAACATTTTTAGACATTTTTTTCAATGAAAAATTTTATAATTTTTTTTTAATTTCTTATTTATATTGTATTAATTATATTCATTTTAATTAAATTTTAATATATTTAAAATAAATAATATTTACAGTAAATTATTTATTATAACTCTAAAATATAATTTATATGTTAAATTAATATAAATTTTAAATGTAATATATTTAATATATTCAAATATAATATTTATTTATTCATAATCTATTATAAAGTTTAGTTATATAATAAACATTTATTATATTGATTTGCCTCCTTTAAGGTAAAGAAATTTTATTTTAGAAAATAAAATACAATAATAATTATTAATTAAAAAATCAACTATAGATATTATAATTAATTTTTTATTTTATTACATATATATTTAATTCCATCAAAATTATCAATCATTAATTTTTTAATCAACAATTGTGAATGCATTCTATTTCTCTAAAGTGCACTCTTTCACTTTAGAGGAGACAAATCTTTATTATACACAATGTTGCGAAAATAAAATTAATTTATCATTAAATGAGAAATGTCATCATCACTTTGATCCTCTATTATTGATGAAAATCTATTAGGGCATCTCCAATGGAAGCAACTCATTTGAGTTGCTTTATGCATTGAAAACGAAAAAAGTAAACATTCCCAAATATGTTCAATAAGATTTGCTTGAAATCTGGCAAGGAACGGTTGCTTGAGGAAGCAACTCATGTTGCCACATCAGAGTCCTCCAATGATAAGAAACCGGGGCTTGAGTTGCTTCATAGGACAAGCAACTCCCATTGGAGTTGCTCTTAAATATTTTAAAATTTTGACAAGTTTCACCTCTAAGTTAGGATAAATATTTATTAAATAAGAAGGGATACATTAAAATTTGTAACCTTCAATAAATAAATTTCTGTTAACACTTTCAATAATATATAATGATTATATTTTTCCTATTTTAATTGGGTTAGATATTTTTTATTTCTAGGAAACTAAAAATTAAAATTAAAAAACATCTCATATAAAATTAGAACTAACCACTAACCTCTTTAAAAATTTCAAGTGAGACATTTGATTACACATCTTAAAGAGGAAATATTACTAAATAAATTTTGGTGTCCAAAAAAAGAAAAAAGTTGATGTTAATTGCTAATTAGTTATCCATATGTATTCACATAAATTCAAATTTTAAAATTTCAATTCTCTTATTGCTTTGCCAGCAACTGCATGTCTGCTTTCACAATCATAATAAATCCACAATTTTTACAATTATGAATTACAAAAATTAGGAAAAATAACTATTCATAAAAAATTACAAATGTTACGATTATAATCAATTAGACTCTAACAGCAATTGAAGGAAAATTTTATCTATAAATCTAAGTCAATGATTCATGTAAATATCAATTATAACATAATAATTGATGAAACAATAAGAATTAGAATTAAAAATTATGTAGACAACGTTAAAGAGATACATCTTGATTGATCCTTTCAGCCTGTAAACATGCATTTTGTTATGTCAAACACAAATCCGAACAGAGTATAAAACTTAACAAAGATACATCTCGTGAACAAGGGACCACCATCTTAAGGGAAAAAATTGCTAGCACAAGAATATGGAAAGAGCTTGTAAACGTGAATCTGTCCAAATACAATACTTGTGCCTACCTGAAGTAAATTTCCAATATCGATGAGTCAAAATGAATGATCAGAAATTGACCAAGATAAATTTGAATAATTTTATCATTGCCTTTGAATATGATTTCTATGCAGTAGCATGTGTTCTATTCACAATAACGGGGATCTAGCTATAACTAGAAAAATAGCATGTCCAAAAAATTTATACGATACAACCTCCTATCTTCTCAGAAATCCGGATGGGAAGTAATGTGTGATTCAATCAGAAACTTTTAAGCAACCTCCCTGCAGAGATTTCTTGTCTACTAATAATCTGCCAACATCTCGCGACTTATCCTTAAAATGACCCCTGAGAAATTCCACAGCCATGAATGTAAGTGCCGAAGCTGGAATGTACCATGTAATCCTGGGGATGCTACCCCTAAACATCCCTTTCATGCCTTCTGTAGCCCATATTTTGCCAATTGCATCCAACCAACCAGTATACCTAAAACATGTTAGAAAGCATATTACCACCAATTTAGCTTTAGTTCAAGTCTCAGAAACATGACCACTCACTGCACTACCTCAATGACCCTGTTTGTGACAAGTATTGATAAATGTATAACAAAAATTCTACAATAACTTGTACAATATCACATTTTGTGTCTACCTTTCTATCATTTATAAATATAGTAAATGAAGTGATGGAAAAAGATAGATACAAAATGATGTTGTAAAGTTTTGTTATACATATATCATTACTCATTTGAGACTACTATATGAAAAATAATGACAGACAACTCCGTATATGTGATCAATCATATCCACAGGCTATCAATAAAGAAATATGACTAGTATCCTGGTGGGACACAACGAATCCCATAACCCATTATAGAATAGTTACTAAAGGAATTGATACCTCAAAGTTGAACCCTGCACTTGCAGTCTTGTTTTAACGACATCCAAAGGAGTGGTAAGATATGCACTGAGACCTGTTCAATGATAGTGAACAATACTGAGTTATATGGTGGACAGAACACTGCAGCACTTACTATTGAAGGCGGAGGACAGGACATACCACCAGCTAATCCTCCTAAAACCAGTCCCTCGACTGAATTATTGACGTGCCAATTTGGGCTAGATATCCATCTTTGCTCTACTTGTTCTTTGGCATCTTTCAAAGCTTCATAGAACATGACCTATAGAAAAGAAACAGTGACATGTTCAAAATCACAAAAAGATATTATGATGACCTTATTTTACGGGAATCAAGACCAACGTACTAACTCAGCCATCTATATTTAAAGTGTGTTCATTCCAATTGACAGTAAAAATGCAACAGTTTCTTTTACTCATTTAAGAGGTTAAAAAACATTTTAAAAGAGATTGGAAAATATTACAAATCTGGGACTATGTAGTGTTTGAATAAGACTTTCCCTTAAGAACTGAACAATATTCACCATTTCACTTGAAATGAACTGATTCACAAATACTATCACAAGCAGTAGGCTTTAAAAATAACCAATTATCAAAGACTATGGATTTAAATCTTGTACTAATATCATTCCAAACAAATTTTATAAAAGCATTCCTTTGTTAGTTATTTTAGATTCCAAATAAGCAGGACAAGATATATGTTTATTTAGTTCCATAACAATTGCTACAAAAGATCTCCCTGGTTTTTTCAAGTAGAATGTCTTTGAAATCTAAAATAGCATAATTATTTATTTAGTGTTGAAACAATTAGCAGGTGTGGCAAAAGAACTAATAAATCAGACCCAAAAAAGGGAAGAGCATCAACATAATAGAAGGTTTCAATATGGGTAAAAGAACAGAATACCAGCTTCCAGGACCAGCTTTATGAAGACTAACTTGAACTGTCCATGTTTTCAAATCCCTATGTCAATAATAACAGTATTCCTTACTTAATATTTAAGATTTTCATAGCCCATTTCAAAGTTTAGCTAGCAGTGACAAATCAGAAGATGCCTTGGTCACATCAGATGAAGGATTTAATCAATAGGAACTAAACAAAATATTTTAATAAACTTATAAAGAAAAAAAAAAGAGAGATTATAGAAGAGTGAATGTAGTAAAACCGTGTGGGGTACATATAATACCATTAGGCCAGCAAATGGAACATCCCTTGCCAGTGTAGACAAATATCTGCAGAAAGAAAAAATATAAGGAATTAAATTCATACATGAAAATGAGACCTAAAATAGATATGGGTTTTGAATTAATTTAATAATTGACTCATTATAAATGGATACAGGACTCATTTCACATACTGCCATACACAAAACAAGAGAAATAAATTATGAAAAGGATGCCTTATTGGTGTCTGGGATACTATATTGAGAAAGAGAGCTTCTGTTGTTTGTGAATTAAAAGACAAGAAGAAAATTAGAGTTTATGATGTATACCCTGCATATAAACCCTTTAAGCCCTGTGTTTTCCATATTGAGCAGCCTGCATGGAACATCCCTGTATAATAACCATACATTTGTGTGCCAGAGTTGATAGCAACGCCATCCTTCACAGCAACAGAACTCCAAGATGTAATTGTTCCTTGAACCTGCATGCGTTGCTTCATCACTTCACATGGAACATATACAAAAGAACCTAGAGTGTCTCCTGAAAATAGAGAGAAACATAAGGTAGAATTTGAGTCCTTTGTTTCACACTTGAATTGTTACATACGGATGTCATGCCCAGAAAACCTTCAAATTTAGCAACAAAAATTATAGAAGTGCAGGATGATAATTATGGTAGTGCACTTAACTTTTTCTGAACTACTCTCCTTAAAAAAAAAATTAAAAAAAAAAAATCCTTGGCCAAACAATCAAACACAAATCCAAATAAAAACAAAAAGACAAAAATGAGCTTCCATAGAAGTGAGTTGGAGGAGCTTCTACTTTTAAAGAGAAGAAAAGCCAAAAAAAAATAAAAAAAAATAGCTAAGCCAAAACATAATCCTCCGACATATTGTAACTTACTGAGGAATAATTATACAAATACAATAATATAATGCGTAGTGCATCGGAAGGGATAACAATAAACATTACATTTAGGAAAACAATATTGGCATAATCAGATGGATTACATTACAATTGCTTTCCTACACATGAGCTGGGCGAGACAAAATGTATAACTTCTAAAAATCAGATATCAGAAGATACAAAAGTATTACTAATTTACTATTAGATGGTTCAAATCAGCTTACCAACAGCTCCAGCAATGAAATGTGCCCAGTGGCCCCGAAGGCTAGGATGTGAATCCTCAATCCACTTTTTTGTGGACTCTATGACTCCAAAATATGTTGCACCAGTTGCAAGAGATCCAATAATACCAGGTGCTACACCCCTGTAAAATCCTACAAAATTATAAATCAATCACAAGGGACATATATTTCCAAGATTATATAGTCTAAAGTGTATGTTACATGATTCATGAAGAAGTTTACAACAATAATAACACAGCCTAATTCCACTAGGTGAGGGGTGAGGTCGGCTAAATAAGTTTACATAGAAAGAAAAAGAAAAAAAAAAGTGCTGAAGCCAAGACTCATCTATCATGCTTGATTTGGATCATTTTGTAGTCAAAAGCTCTCTTAAAAGTTTTGATTATAAGCAATTCTGAAACCAAAAAAAAATAGCCCAAACATGCATTAAATGTCATTTAACACAAGGAAACTGCATGATTTAAAACCATAAGAAAATACCCATAGCAGGGGAAAAAATATTTAATGATAAAAATAGCATACCTTTTAATCCATCAACCTGCCAGACAGATTGGACCATCTGCAATATGTTCTTCTGGTTCTAAAGATAAATGATGTTCCAAAAGGGAGAAAAAATTTAGATGATGGAGCTATATATGAACAACATCTCATATGTAACTTTTTAAATGTGTGTGTTTGTGTCAACAATATTTTCTCATTTATCTATAGGCTGTCATTATACCTGAATTCCATTTAGAATTGCTTGACTTTGTAATCGAGTTTTAATGGTATCCACTGGATGCATCATTCCTTCCCCAAAAGCACCCGCAACAGCTCCCCAAACAAACTCTTTCCATACTTCACCAATATCATAAGGTAAGAAAATTAGCTCTAATCATAAATTATAAATTTAAAAAAGAAATGACAATTTTATACACAGATTTATTTCCCAGCAACGATAAAGCTTTGTCAGGGAGGGGCAAATGAAAAAGAAGACCAAATGATAAAAAAAAATGTAAAATGCAAAGGGATGAGATGTGTCCCAAGAAAAGCCCCAACTTTCTTAAAGGGTTGTACCTCTCCCAACCAAAACCCAGCTATGTAACAGTGAAACACAGTTGAGCTCAGAAGACATCATATCACATTAGTCTACATTTTAAATTCAGCATTCATTTGTTTTAGGACAACTATCATCAGTCCATTCCGCGAACCATTTAAACCAAGATTATGAGCCATAATATTGGACCTCACTCAAGTAACTTTCCGGTGAGGTTACAAAAACACAACAATAAACCAGAAACCTTATGCCAATGCCATGAAGCCATAACTCGAGCAAACATTCAAAAATACTCTACTAGAAATCAAGCACATTCGTTCACTTTGGGTCATTTCATAACATTACATCACTTCGATCTTAAATTGCAAATCTCCAACATCTCGTCAGCTTCAAGTAATTAGGGATTTATCCTATTCCTACTGGAGCTTAAATTTGGTACCCTCCGGTTACGAAATTTGAAATGCTGAGAATAAAATAAATGAGAAATCGTTACTTTAAAGAAAGTGGTTAGTTAGTTTTATTGACAAAATTGAAACATAGCAATGGGTAACATGCATATGAACGTGGTTGTGGATGTAATCAAATGGCTTACAAAAGAAATCGCCATGCGAAGCATTCTTTGAAACTTGTGCTTCCCTGGAAGTGGAGCTCCGAACCGCCATAGAACAAGTAACTAACTGCGACTTCTTCTCTAGGGTTTTATAAGGGTTTTTGGCAAAGAAGAAAGGTTTAGAAAACTGTAAGTAAAATGAAAACATAACTGTTTTACTAGAAATGGTGGTTCATAGTTTATAAGCTAATAATTTATAATTTCTATAAAGTTTTCCATGTTTTATTGACATGTTTTGGTGTCCACTTACCCACATAAACAATACTAGTAATTTTTTAAACATTATTCTCGTTTTGAAGGGAATTTTAATTTTAATGTATATTTTTAATTTATATTATTATTATTATTATATAAAGATAAAAAAATAATATATTTTAGTCTTTAAATTTTTTGTTAAAATTTTTTTTTAGTCTCGAAACAAATTTCATCTTTTATGTCTAAAAATTTTCTTCATCAGCAAAAATATTTGACGTTAGAAACCAGAATATTAACGAAGAAAAAGTTTAAAAATTAAAAGTGAAAATTGAAAAAAAAATATATTTGATGTTAGTAAAAAAATTGCTCAAGGATTAAAAATAAAAATCAACAAAATTTCAAGAACTAAAATATATATATATATATATATAAAATCTAAAAGGAATTATTAAGGTCATTTGCAAGTTTGAGTGTCATGATAAATTTTTTTCATAAACCATTGACATTAAGTTGGATCATTTTCTTCATGGATTATCTTCAACCCTCTTTTTCTAACGAAAAAACCCTTATTAAAAGAATTAGAATAGGATTTAACGGTCTTGCTTATGTTGAAAAATTTTTATTATCTTCACCAATTCGAAAAAATGAAGGTTCTCTACAACACACATGCACATATGTACTCACATCTTCACTAATTATGTAAAACCTAAAAGTAGTTGGGTTCATTCTTATTGCTTAATGCCTTATTTGAATCCCCATTTTGATTCACTCATTTTTTTCTCTTGAACTTAATAAGAAATATTATGATATAGTAGTTTTTATTATGTAATCATTTAAGCTTTGTGCTTCGAATTCTCTGAAGTGAATGTTAGAATATAAAAAAAAGTAGAATTGTTATCTATTTAAAAAATTGTTCCTTTTTATAAATCTGTTATTCAAAGATCAGTCTTCTAAGTGTTATAACTTAGTATATTTTCTATAAATAGTTTCCGAGTTCACTTGTTTATGATTTAGATTATGCAGCAGTATAATAATGAATGCAACAAGTTATATAAACTGGTAAAGAGATCATGAAAGAGAGATTTAACACAGGATTTATACTAGTTCATCCGAACTAGGCTACATTTAATTCCCACATAACCTTGTGGGATTTTCACTAACTCACAATCAATCTATTGTTCAAGAACTCATCCAACTACTAATATAAACCACTACTACATAGCCTCCTACTATTAGTAACAAACACTCAGCTACTTGTTGAGATTTCCTCACTCAACCACTTGTTGAGAAATCAACCCTATAGCCACCTGAACACTTGTTGTGATTTCTTTCTACTTTTGTACACCACTACACACTCAGTTCTAGGTAGGGACAATGTTTATAATAATAGGTTTTTGTGTTCTTGTTGTTTGCTAAGACCACATATATCTCTCTTATGATAGAGCATCCATTGAGGAAGGTTTCACACTTCTTTTTCTATTACAAAATAAATATACAAATGTGAAGTGGAAGTCTCTAAAAAATTTAGAGGATGAAGCAAGGATTGCAACTTGTTTTGCTTGTGTAATTGATTTCTCTCTTATTAAGTTAAAGATAATCTTAGATCCTTCAATTATAAAGTTTTAATAATAACAAACACATATATTTTGTTTAAGAAATTTTTGTAAACCATTCAAAAAGACAAATGTTCTATAAAAGATGAATGCACTAAGACTATTTCGTTATCTTAAAATAAGTGTCTAATAAATTAAATTATTCTAAATTAATATAATTTATGATGTTTGGTAACTAAATCGACCTTTGTGTATATTATTCCTTAATAGATCAAAGCAAAATAACTTCCTTAGTACTTGCAATGACAAAATAGAAGAAGGATGTGCTTTTTGTCAGAAAAAGACAAGCAAATCTCATGAATAAGAGAAATCTTCAGAAAAAAAAACTATTTTGAGCTAACACATGCATGGCTCCACTTATTCGGTACCTAAAAGATGATAAGTAACTTCCTTGTGTTAACCAAGCTCAAAATGAAGACTTGGTTTATATTTTGATGATTACAAAGAGTGTTTCTTATGTTTAAGACAGTGCAAATTGTATTGATGTGTTTTAAGCTTTGTTGTTTGAATGATTTATGCTTTGTAGGTAACTTAGCCTTATATCTTTATCTAGATGATGAAAATAAGTTTTAAAATTGACTTGAAAAGAGAACTAATATAAAAAATTGAGATGCTAAATTTTCACTTAAAATAATCGATTATCTTAAGTAATAATTGATTATTTGTTCTATTTTTTAGCAGCCTAAAAAATTTTGTTGTAATAAATGATTATTTAGCAAAATAATCAATTATTTTAGAAACTGGTTTATGGAATAATTGATTAACACTCAAAATAATTAATTAAATTATTCTTGGTTGATTTCCAAAACTGTGAAGAACAAAATAATTGATTATCCATATAAATAATTAATTATTTTGAACAAAAAAAATTATATATCATTTTTCACATTTAGAGCAAAAAGAACTTTCGATCTTTGTGATATTACTTTTGAAAATACTCTTTGAAATGTTTCTCTTTTGCAAAAAGAGGTTTGAAACCCTTTGTGAGAACCTTAAGAAAGATTTCAAGAATTAGGTTGCTCGTCATCTTTATGGAGTGATAAACTAAGCTACATTGGTTTGATTCAGCTACTTTGATATATTTTGTACATCAAGTGAATTCGTTCTTTAATCTCAATGATTTGTTTTCTTATATAGGTTTCTTAGGAAAAAAGGAAACCTTATAGTGGGGTGCTACAAGTAAGTGTTTCTTAGGGTACAAGAAGTAATTTCTTTAATAGTGTAGAAGTGTGTTACATGTGATATTATGATTATAAAACTTTTGACATAAAAAATTAGTGGTAAATCTCAATTGGGTTGATTGGGAACTAGATGTAGGTCACAAGCGGATGTAGTTGAACTAGAATAAATTTGCTATGCATTTTTCTCTATCCTTACATTTGTCTTTAAATTCTTGCAAATCTGATTATATGTTTAAAGTTGTATGATATGGAACATGAACATTGCACATAGGACTAATTGAATTCGAATTTGCATGTAATCTAAACATCATATCCTATTTAAAGTTATATATCAATATACTTATTTCGAAAGTTTTATAAAAGGTTTTAAAATCAAGAAGATTTAAAAAGGAATATTTTAATAACCAATTCACCCATCCCCCCTCTTAGTTAAGCAATCTCTTCTAACAATTGGTATCTAGAGCAAGGTTCTTGAAAGTTAATCAAGATTTTTTTTAAAATGGTTGGTAATAATCTTCCATATGGTGAAGGAGTCTCTATCCATAGACCTCCTATTTTCAATGGTGAAAATTGTTTATTGGAAAATAAGAATGAAAATCTTCATTGAAGTTATTGATATAGCCATATGAGATGTTGTTGAGAATGGTCCATATATTCCTATGATTGAAGAAAAAGACAAAAGTGAAAGGAGAGAAAAACATTGGAATGAGTGGAGTGATGATAAAAAGAGAAGAACACAATATGACTATAGAGCGAAAAACATCATTACATTTGCATTATCTCATGATGAATTCTTTAAAGTATCTCAATTCATCTAACGAAATGTGGGACACATTGTGATTAACACATGAGGGAACTAGTGATGTTAAGAGATCAAGAAAGCATACATTAATTAGAGAATATGAATTGTTAAGAATGAATTAAGGTGAAAATATATATGATTTCCAAAATAGTTTTACACATCTCATAAACCATCTTATTGATCTTGGCAAGAAATTTGAAAGAAAAAAGTTTAATCTCAAAGTGTTGTAATGCCTAGATAGATCATGGCAAGCTAAGGTCACAACTTTTGAAGAGTCAAGAGATTTGACATTTATGACATTGGCCACACTATTTGGAAAATTGAGAGAACATGAACAAAAGTTGCACATCCTTGATATAAATGAACAACAAGACAAGAGAGGACAAAATAGTCTCATCAAAGACTTCAACTTCTAGAAAAGGAAAGGAAATAATTGAAGAATCAAGTTCCAAAGATTTGAATATGGAACACTTCAACCTTATGGTGAGGAAATTCAACAAGGTTTTTGGGAGGAAGACAAAATCAACTCAAAACTTCAAGAGGAATAATAAAAAAAATGAAGGAAATGTCATTCAATTTAATTGCTTTGAACATTGAAAGCAAGGTCACATAAAAATTGAGTTTCCTATCTACTTAAAGAAACAACAAGAAGATAAAAAGGGTAAAAAGAAAATAAAAGGAAAGAAAGTATATATAGCTTGGGAGGATAATGATTCAAGCTCCACAAGTGTTACGTCAGAAAATGAAGAAGCAAGCATGTGCTCAGGATAATTTATAAACACCTTCCCTTCTTAACCCATTGATGTTCCTTTTCGAGGAATAAAATCATGATGACCCAACGAGTGTTGAAGTAGACAATACCTCAGATACGATTGACCATGACTATGTTAACAAACTTATGGTCCGAACATTGGCTAAAATGAGGGCCTAGGCCACTCTTACCCCTTAGCCTCGACTAGGGGGTTTGTTCTAGTATGTCTAAGAGTCCCACATATTACTTAGAAATTGAGATTAATGATAGTTTATAAACACCCTTCTCTCTTAACCCACCAAGGTGCCTTTTTCAAAGACAAAACCATAATGAGGGCCAAAGTAGACAATACTTTGGACGCAATTACCCTAACGATGCTAGTGGACTTACGGTCGGAATAGAAATGTTTGAAACATTGATGAATAATGTTATAATGATGAATATTATAATGTGATGAATGAGTAGTATATATTTTATGGTAATTATGGATGTTGTAAAATGTGATGAATAAATGGCATTGATGTATGAGGAAATATGGTGACGCATGATATGATGAGTCATTATGAGGTGATGTGGTGATGTGTTAAGTATGTAAGTCCAGGCTGCAGTTGACATTG